GTGTTCCCTTGAATGCGAATTCAACTTGAGGTACCTCTTCCTGATAGCTTCTTTGTGCCGAGTTCTGGACTATTTTGTCCCATAAACGTGCTCACCATGTGAGCTTTTGTATGCCAATCACAAATGCTGAGCTAATGACACTTTTTCATCAGCGAGTGCAACAGTTGGTTCTCTCTGCTCCGTGAACCATATAAAAATAATATATGCAGTTTTCGTACGATGTTTGAAACTTTTCTTTGCTGCAAGTGGCTGAATCAAAGTTCTTTCAGAGCTTCGGAATTTCTCCTCATGATTAAAACTTGGTTGTTGTATGATGGTACTCCTAATGTATCGGTTAAATTTCATTTTGGATTGGTTTATTCCCAATTTCGCTTATGTCGTTTTTACCTAAATTTAATTTTGATTTAGGCATGTACTACCATCGCGGATACAGAGATTCAGCCTCACAACATGGTTCACGATCCAGCAACTGCAAAGATTGCTTCAGCTGACACATTGGCTTCGGTAAAACCAGAAGGAGACGATCAGATGGGAACAGATATTGCTCACCCAGGCCATGTACAAATCTCTTCGTATGGCAAACCTAGCAAGTCGGAAATCTATCCGACTTCGTCTAATGCTGTGGAGTCAAAGCGCCCGGCCTCGGTGCCTTACCCGGCGAGTATTGATCAACCAATGCCTATCCGTCGGAAACGCTGTAATAGTGGGAGCTCCGTTCCAATACAATCTAAACGTCCGGCAATCAGTACACTTTTCGAAGTGAGCTTTACCACGACCGAGGTTCCTCGACCACCTTCTAAACAAACCGAAACCCCATCGGAACCGGTTGATACCACATTTGTTGGACTCCTGTCCAAACAGATTGACCAACAAGTTGCAAACACATCGACAATCAAAGTCCCGGAGCAGTCGTCTATTTCATCCACCATATTTGAAATTAAGCAACCACCGCCGGACACCCCAATCAAAGTACTACCCAGTACAACCGAACCCTCAGAGAGTTCTGCTAAACTGTCTATCGAATCGGCTATCCGTATCACATTCACAGCGATTGATTACGATTCACGACTGTCTCTAATCGAACTGTGTCAACAGTTGCCCGGATGCGAAATCGTCGAAAAAGCCCAAGATGCTACGCACTTGATTTGCACACGTCTATTACGCACTCCGAAAACGTATTTGGCCCTTGCAGTCGGCTGTTATCTGGTCACACCTAAATGGATCCAGGCGTCCGTTTTACGTGGCTGTTGGCTCGGTAAGTTTCCCGGGACGTGTGCACTGTGGTGATGTGTTCAGAAAATTTTAACTTTTGTCTCATTTTTTTGCCATCATTTTACTCTCGTTGGTTTCTGCATCGCGGACTGTTTGCGTTTCTTTCGGCTCGAAAGGAATCTGGTCGGTTAGGCCTCTTGTGAAATGCGGTTCGGATCGATCTTTGTGGATTGCGCGATTGGAGTACAAGAGCCGTAAACTGTCTCAAAATATATGTCCGAAACTAGTTAAACTAGTGGCATGAATAGTATTAAGCATGGGTTCGGTTGAACTGTAGCTTCGGTGCCTGCAAATCACTGAACCGACGCGTGACGAAAGTGAGGTTTTTCATTCTTTCTTTAGTTCATGAATTGGTCGATCCATTCCCGGATGCAGAACTGGTTGGAATTTTAGAAAGCATCAATTGGAATTTTAGTTTTACAAGTGAAGGTACCAATATTGGTTGATAATGCGACCAGGTTGTGCTGGTAGCTTGACTCAAAATCTAGTGCAAAAAATTCACATTCTCACGCTCCGTTCTGTGCGCTGAATTTTCTTCTATTACACACTTTCGTGTGATGAACAGCTGACGGGGAAAGCCACCTAGTCACGAGGACCTGCTGTTCATTGATGAAAACCGTTAACTTACGCCCCGCGAGACTTGAATTGGTGAACCACATAAGGCCCCGATAGGTTAAGTGTGGTATTGAACCGGACGACAGCACAGCTGCCCCTCACCAAAGTTAATTGGCGGTGGTGGGGCTCGAACTTCGGACCATGAGGTTCAAAGCACGCCTATGGCCACGACTAAACCACTGCGCCACCACCACCCAGTGAAGTAATATAAAGACAGTTGAGTCAACGCGGTACCGTTATTGGATTGCAGCGATGGTTACGGAACACCAAATAGCTATACTTGAGGTAGCGAACTAAAAGGACCATAGTTCATCAGTAATCGAGTTATGCTATCTAAAACCCAACTATTACTGTCTTCCTTTATAATCAGTGACCTTGATATATGTTTCCACAAAATGCTTATGCTAGTAGGTTAATTGTATTAGTGTCATTTTTTCAAGTTGTATTGTGTCCATTTCATCCCATTCATTCTTTTCGGAGATTTTTAATGAACCAAACACTTATTACTCTTCATGCATGCCTGCTGTTTCTCTGTTTTGTTTGCACATTGCACCGGTACGGAAAATTCAGATGAGACACCGTGGCTCCTATCCGACCCGGATTCCGAAGCCCAGTTAGGTTGTCAACTGCACCAGTCCATTCACCGTTCTCGTCGTCGTCGAATGCTCGGTCCGGAGGCCTACTTGTTCGCGGGTTTAGAATTCTGGCTCTCTCCACGGGCTTGTCATCGTGAAATGTGTATTGAACTGATCAAAGCGTGCGGAGGTGTGGTGCGACTGAAAAGACCCACACAAAAGATGGCATTACTCCCGCAACCTCGCCAATTGATCATTTGTCACGAAGATGATAGCCACGTAGCCAGTTATCTAATGCGAATCAAAACGGGAAATAAAGGTTCGTCACGTTCCACTTATGTGTCTTCCTTGTTCGGTAACTGGCGCTATTCTTTCGTGTGCTGGAAATTCATTCAACCGCTGTAATGTTATCTCTTGTCTTTCAATCGATGTTTGTTTGTGTCCAACCGAAGTGAAGTTCTTTCCCAGGCTATAACGCTATTGAAAAAGGTAGAGTAGGTGTCATTAGGTAGAGTGGGCATCTCCCGCCTTCCAGGTTGGTATCCGAAAGACTCCTCAATCGGTTGGTTGGAGACATAGAAGGATATAGTAGCAAACCGACAACAATGGCGTTCTTGTTGTCATTTCTTATCCGGTCAGAATGCTTGAAATGGTATGTGGACAGAGTTCGGTTGTGCACTCTGTGTGTTGACCACAGTGGTTTCACCTTCTCNGTCCAATCCCTGTTCACCTTGAATAACACCACTAATCTTGTACGCATTGCGAGTTTGGCAGCGATCAGTGAGTTTCGTCTCGCTGTACGATGATGTTGGTAAAAGAGATTGTATTTCTAGAATCTGCCGGTTGTTTGACGCTAACCGACAACTTGTATGGCCGTTGGGGAAAGATGATAACATTGCCTTTTTTGGTGAACAGTTTGCAACCCGCATTCCCTCAAACCTCCCTGATATATTGCGTCGCTACATGTCTTCACATTTGTCGATCTACTGGTACCATACATCCCCTTACTCATCAATCGGAAAAGGCTTCTTCATGCCTTGATTGAATAGCACTGACTGCATCCCGTGACTTTTTTTATATTGCATGCGCTAATCTCTTATGTATCTCATTGTGTCCTATCTGTCTGGATAGAAAACAGCTGAAAACGCAATCGAGGGAGTTTAGGGAGCCTCCGTCAATCAGCACGGAATGTCGGGTCGTTTCATGCTCAGACCCAAAAACTACCGAGCAACTCGCATTGGAAGCTCTGGCAGACGTGATCTAGAAACGTAGTCAGCGAAGTGCGTTGTGAAAGACTTCCATTTAATTAAATCTAGTTCAGCCTTCTTTTTCGATGAACACGCTGCATGTGCTGTTACACTCCTATCATATATCGTGTGTGTGTGTGTGTGTGTGTGTTTGGTAGCAATGCTGAATCGGCACGCGTGCTTCATATTAGCACTTGAATTACCGCGAAACAAAAGATTCGTCGTTGCGACAAGCTGCGTTTATGTTGCACTTCATTTAAAAATTAAATCATTTTGTCCGTGGTCGACTGTCAGTTTTCACAGTAACTAATAATCATACCAATCTATCAAGTCTGTGGTGCTGGTACCATCTTTTATTTCCGACTCACTGTTTCCCACGTCCTGGTTGTCCCGAGTTTCGTTCGTTCTACCTAATTTTCTCTATCAATACTCTGTTTTGTTTCAGCCGTGCATCATGAGGAGTTTATTCTCAGTGGTGTGTTGCGTCAGGAACTCGATTTCGACGCATACCAAATACAGTATGTGAGCACATTGCAAACTGGACTTAAAGCTGCCGTGGCCGCCGCTGAAGCTGCATTGGCTAATTCTGGATCGCATCCAATGACTACGGTTCTTCCGGCACCAACTTCGTTACGTTTTGTCACCGCTCATTCAGATGTTCCGATTCCGGTCACGGCAGTCGCATCTGTTCGATCGAACCAACCGAGACTGGACCCAAACGTTCACAACAAGACAGTCGCATTGTCTATTACTACTACCACACAAACCGTCCCAATTGTTTGTCAGGCTGCCCCGTGCAATTCCGTTCAAAGATCAGACCTAATGCGTATGGTTTCCGTCCCACTTTCTGCATGTGTATCTGAAAACCCCGGCGTTATTTGTTCGCCTTTGGCCACCCGAACAGTGAATGTGATCTCACCCACAGTCACTACCCGCGTCCAGGCTTACCACCCGGCTCGTCCGGCCGATTCCCAATCGACTACGCGATTACCACCCGAAGCATATGGTACCGTTCAACCCGGCACCGTCGTTCCAGATTTTCGAAACCAGGCCAACCTCCCACGGCACACATCCGAACCTATTATCCATCATACACACCCACCTCCCATTCCTTTGTCACATCAACACCAGCAGCATCTTCATCATCCGCCAGTTCCGTCAACTGGATTGCAACACCTTTTGGTCGGTTCGTCCACGGGTGATGTATCCATTCCTACCTACCTGCCACCTGGCTACGCCGTTCCACGCACGGATTCTCGTACGGATCTCAGTAGCGCTGTTCGCCCTCCATTGAGCCAAGAGGTTGCTTCCACCTCATCCCAAATGCTGATCGCTTATACCACTCCTACGGTTTCGACAGATCCGAATGGTGTTGCGCGTTTTGCACCGGGCAGCTCTATTCCCTCAGCACTTGATCCAGCCAGGTGTGTGGTATTCGTCACAACCGCTCCACATATGTTATCTGCGAACGCTCCGCTTCGTGTTCCCTCGGATGCTGGACGTATGGCACCTTCTGAGATGTCACTGGATATGCACAAACCAAGCCCAAAACAACGGTCCAGCACACTACTCCTTTCGGGAAACACGAATCCTAGTCCACAGTTGACCAACATCGCCACCACCGGTAATGTTCCTGTAAGCACTCAGATAAGTCAAGCAATACCGCGCCCTGTCACCGCCCTCACAGCAATGATTGTAGCCGCTGAGGCAAATACAAATGATTTGGTTCCCAACCTACCTTTGGGTGAGACAGATATGGTGGTGATGGGTCCCGTGTCTTCATTCGTGTTGCCTAAACCAACTGGTTATCACCGACCACTCAATGCCCCCTCTTCCGCAAACGTTGTACCTGTTACAGCCTCCAGTACTGCTACTAGTGCGCTGAATGCCCGAAGCGCGGCTGCTGATGCACACGCGGTCGCCACAGCCACTGCTGCCGCGGCAAATGCTTTGCACAGCGCGGAAGCTAAAGGTATGGTTGTAGGTGTAAAACCCAACCCAGGTACTCTTTCTGTTCCAGTACCAACTCTTCGCAATTCACATGTGTACACTTCTGAAGTGGTTGCCGCCGAGACGAAGAAACGCATGGGCAGCGGGGGAAGTAATGTCTCCGGACCTTCGACTGCTCCGTCTGTTTTATCCAGTGTCACTCCGCTTGACGATGCGGTCAAAAGTCTGATAACTAATCAGCTTAGTTTCCAACCTCTAGCGGACATTGAAATGCGACAATGCAACACCATGGAATCGGTGCAGACTAATCCTTCCGATATGGGACCTTCCCGATCTTTCTCTACTTCGGACATTCCCACGTGTTTCGGTTTCGAAGATAGTGTGGCCTCGTCCGCCGTTTCTCAGTTCTCCGTTGTGCACTCCGCACATAGTTCAGTCCAGGTGTCCTCCGTAAACGCTGTCAACACCGTCACCACTATGCATTGCACTTCATCCGAATCGCGTGCCGATACCGTCCCATTTGGCTCCAATTCAGCCATTTCTCCATCCAGGCAGGTCGATGCAATTCACGCCACTCTCGTCACTGCTGCATCCAGTACAGAAAATTATTCAACAAACTCGAGCACATCCACTGTTGTTGTGATCAGTGAACCGACAATTCTCGCAACAGGCACCACCGAGGTCGCGCCATCAACGGTGGCCTTTTGGACAAAAACAAACAATGAACCTGGATCAAGCCCTTCCACAGTCCAACTGGCCGAGACTGTCAGTCTAGTTGCACCTCAAACGCATTCCTCCACAGCGACAGATAGCTGCACTACGACCGTCTGTTCTGACCCAGAACAATCCGTGATTCTATCCACCACTGAATAGGTAGGTGTGATTCTTTTACCGTTTTCTCTTCTCAGTCTGAAAAAATCTCATGGTTATTAACTGTATTGAACCGGTCACTTTAACCCCGTTACTATTGTTTTCCTTTTACTCAAATATTATATTGTACAGTGTGAAACGATATATTGCTGAATCATTGATTGATAATCTAGCGCTTATCTCAACGTAAACGTCACAGACTGTACATCTTAGCGAGGAAACTTGTGAAGTAAAGCAACAGTAGTTGGGAGTGTCTAACACGTTGAAGACAAAGCGCTTCATTATATGGT